CAGAGCCCCCAACAGCCACTTGCTTCCACAATCAAAAATCACCGCCATATTCCCGGCCTGACTCCACCATCTCAGGATGGACCTCACCAAGATATAATCTGATGAAAATTTTGTAATGTGGATCTTAGCTAACCAACAGCCCTGACCTAGAGACACAGCAGCAAGTTCAGGAAGACACCACAGCACCAGAGTTCTCTCTGCACCCCATACTGGGCCAATTTCACCAGAGCACCACAGATGGAGCAGGTACAGTCTCCCCGCCTACTTCGGATGGAATCCCGGTGACCAAGAGCTTCCACAAACAAGGTCCTGGTATGCAGGTTCCAGGACTAAATCTCCAGGCTGCATGGCAGCAGAGGACCTGGGCTGTCCCTCCCTGGATCCCCACCCATCCAGAAGACTGGCTGTCACACCAAGAACTTGCCTCTGGGTTCCATCTTAGCACACCAACAGCCCTAGCCCAAAGACTCCCAATGAATTCCAAAATGGATTAGTGCCATACAGAGATGTCTCTGGAACCCATCATTTACAATCTAGAAATTTACATTTACAATTGAGGCCATTTGAGCTCTCATGATACTCAAAATGGGCAACGGAAAATAAATGATCTAGAGTCTGCCCCTAGCAGGTAGGCTTGAATGGTGGTGGGAAATTTTAAGCAAAACATAATGCCCAAAATTAGAAAGAGAGTATTGGGGAAATTGTCTACCGTAGATGCAGGATGAGGACTGGGATGTGGGAGGAGGAAAATGTGCACTGGTGGAGGAATGGGTGTTCCATCATTGTATGGCTGAATCTCAAACATGAAAGCTTTGTAACTCTATCTTATGGTGATATAATTAAAAAAAAATAAAAAGCAATGTGAAGTTCATGCCCTATTCAATTAGCTTAATCAATGGCTGAACAAAATGCAGTACTCCTACATTATTTTTTAAAAAAATGTTTGTTGTCAAAAAGAGAGAAGACATCAATAGAATGTAAGGAGGTAGGAGACGTGGCTACTGCACGCCACCAGGGACCAATTCCTTCCACCTTAGCACTGCAAATGCAATTAAATAAATAAATAAATAAATAAATTGCCCCACAGCAATGAGTCACAGATAAGCAATAGACCAGATAATACTAAAGCCATTCAACTGATACATTGATTACCTTTTTTAGGGCTTTCAGGAGGCGGGCTGGAGCGATAGCACAGTGGGTAGGGCATTTGTCGTGCATGCGGCCAACCCGGGGTTCTAATCCCAGCATCCCATATGGTCCCTTGGCACCACCAGGAGTAATTCCTGAGTACAGAGCCAGAAGTAACCCCTGTGTATTGCCAGTTGTGACCCAAAAAGCAAAAAAATAAAACAAACCAAAAAAGCAATTATTCAGGAGGCAAGTATTATTGTTATTACTCCCATTGTGAGTTGAGAATAATTGAGACTTCAGTAACTTGCACAAGGTCAAATAGCTAGTCACCATTTTTCAAAGTAATTGATCAAACCCTCCTGAAATTCACACGGAACAAAAACTCCCCAAGAATAGCTAAAGCAATTTTATGGAAAAAAAGAAGATGGGAGGCTTCACCTTCCCAAACTTCAAACTAGACTACAAAGCAGTAGTAATGTAAACAGCATGGTATTGCAAGAAAGACAGACCCACAGATGAATGGAGCAGAGTTGAATATCCTGAAACACAGCCTCAAATATATGATAATTTAACTTTTGACAAGGGAGCAACAAATATCAATGGAACAAGGACATCCTCTTTAACAAGTGTTGCTGGGAAAACTGGCAGCTACATGTTAAAAACTGAACTCAGAACTCTTTCTAACACCATCCACAAATGTCAGATCAAAATGAATTAAAGATCTCAACATCAGACTTGAATCCATAAGGTATATGAGAGAAAACATAGGCAAAATCCTCCATGACATTGTAGCTAAAGGCAACTTCAAAGATGAAACACTACTGACCAAGCAAGTGGAAACAGAAATAAACAGATGGAACTATCTTAAACTAAGCTTCTGCACCTCAAAAGAAACAGTGACCAAGATACAAAGACAGCCCATGGAATGGGGAAAAGTATTAACCCAATACTCATCTGATAAGGAGTTAATATCAAAAATATACAAGGCACTGGTTGAACTTTACAAGAAAAAAATTCAACCCTATCAAAAAAATGGCAAGGAGAAATGAACAAAACTTCCTAAAAAAATTCAAATGGCCAAAAGGCACATGAAAACGTGCTGCTCATCACTAATATTCCAGGAGATCACGATCACGATCACGACCACCCTGTTGTTCGTTGATTGCCTCGAGCAGGTGCCAGTAACGTCTTCTTCGTCCTAGCCCTGAGATTTTTTTTTTTAAAGTGCCATATTCAAGGCTTTTTCAGGGTTAGGAGAATGAGACCCATCATTGTTACTGGTATTTGGCATATTGGGTATACCACGGGGAGTTTGCCAGACTCATTCCAGGAGATGCAAATCAAAATAACAATGAGATATCATCTCACACCACAGAGACTGGCACACATCCAAAAGAATAAGAACAACCAGTGCTGATGCCAATGGGGAAAGAAAGGAACTCTCATTCATTGCTGGTAGGAATACCAACTGGTCCAGCCTTTTCGGAAAACAATATGAACATTCCTCAAACAACTAGGAATTGAGCTCCCATCTGACCCAGCAATACCACTACTAGGAATATACCCAGGAGAACTGAAAACACACAGCAGAAACACCCTCAGTACTACTGTTTTTTGGAGCACTATTCACAACAGCCAGAATCTGAAAATAACCTGAGTGCCTGAGAACAGATGACTGGATAAATAAACTATATACATCTACACAATGGAAAACTGCACAGCTGTTAGGAAAACTGAAGTCATGAAATTTGCCTATAAATGGTTGGATATGAAAAATATCATGCTGAATAAAATGAGTAAGAAGGAGAGGGACAGATAGAGAATGACTGTATTCATTTGTGAAATATGTATATATGTGTGTGTGTGTGTATATATATATATATGTTATGATCACGATCATCCTGTTGTTCATCGATTTCCTCGAGGAGACACCAGTAACGTCTCCTTCTTCCTAGCCCTGAGATTTTAAAAGAGCCATTTCAATGCTCTTTCAGGGTTAGGAGAATGAGACCCATCATTGTTACTGGTATTTGGCATATTGAGTACCACACGGGAAGTTTGCCAGACTCTGAGATATATATATATAGATAGATAGATGTGTATATATATATATATATATACATATATATGAGACTAATATCCAAGGTCAAGGAAAACAGGGTCCAGGACTGGTCAATGGTTGAAATCTATCACCAGTGTGTGTGGAGTGGAGTTTAGTTAAGGCAGAGAAGGGACCAGTATTGCCGGGAGCCAAAATATCAGTACAGCCTGATCTGCAATTTAGGAACTAATCTCTTCTTGGAAAAATGTTAAAATACATTGTGTAAGATTCTGAGCTACGCCCAAGATAACTGCCATGAACCTGCCATTAGAGCTCACACCCTGATTTAGTGAATATCTGCATGCTTTGTTAATTCCTCATTTTTCCCACTTCCTCATGTAATCAATTATAAAAGACTAGCTTGGGAGAAATAAATTTGGAGCTTGATCAGAGTCTTTTTTTTTATTTTCCTCTAGTAATATATATATTTTTTTATTTTTATTAGTGAGACACCATGAGGTACAGTTGTAAGGTAAGGTAAAGGTAAAGGCCCTCCCGTTGATCGTCGATTTGCTCGAGCGGGCCCAGTAACATCTCCATTGGAGACTTTGTTGTTACTGTGTCTGGCATATCGAATACTCTCGGTAGCTTGCCGGGCTCTCCGAGAGGGGCGGAGGAATCGAACTCGGGTCGGCTATGTTGGCCGCTTGTAAGGCAAACGCCCTACCCACTGTGTGAGGTACAGTTGTAGACTTACAAATTTTTGTGCTTGGGTTTCAATTATACAATGATCAAATACCCATCCCTCCACCCCGTGCCCATTTTCCACCACCACGGGTGGATCCCAGTATCCCTCCCACTCCCCATCCCCCCATCCCACCCTGCTTCTGTGGCAGGGCATTCCCTTTGTTCTCTCTCTCCTATTGGGTGTTGTGGTTTGAAAAAGAGGCAATGGGTGGCAATCATGTTTGGTCTATAGTCTACTTTCAGCATGCTTCTCCCATCCTGGGAGGATCCTCCCAACACCTTTTATTTGGTGCTCCCTTCTCTATCTGAGCTCCCTTTTCCCCTAGCATGTATGGCTGGCCTCCAAGCCATAGAGTAAAATTCCATGAAAAGATCAGAGTCTTTTCTTGCTCCCATTCTTCATTCTTCTGTCTCTCTTTTTTCCCACTCACGCACCCTCTCCCGGTTATCCACGTTGACTAGTCCCGCGGGTCAGGGCACAGTATGACAATAATGGTTGGAAATGATCACGTTGAATTAGGGCTGTTTAAAGTGGGTAAAGGGATAACCTTTCCATATCTGTGTTGCAAACTACAACGCCCAAAAGAAAAGAGAGAGAGAGAGAGAGAGAGAGAGAGAGAGAGAGAGAGAGAAGTAGTTGGGGTGGTGGTAGAAGGGAAACTGGGGACACAGGTGTTGGGAAATGTACACTGGTGGAGGGATGGGCGCTGGAACACTCTGACTGAAACCGAATCACGAATAGCTTAGTAATAGTCTATCTCACAGTAATTCAGTAAAAAAGTTAAAAATTAAAAACAACAACAACAACAACAACAACAACAAAAACTAGTCACCGAATTGTTACTATGTGAACCCACACTGGCTCCAGGGACCAGTTCTTTGTCCTTACAACCCACTGCCAGAAGGGCAGAAACATCAGTTTCCTGTAAGTATGAGAAAAAAAAAAAAGTACAGGCCTAGGAGGAAGTGCAGGACTGGGAGCTAGGATGTCACCCCTTGGCTCATGTCATTACGGAGGGAAGAATTAGTCAGAGAGCCAGAAATAGATTGCAGAACATAGTGATAGTGCAGAGATGAAAGCATGCTTTCTGGGTGCAGCATGGAACCTGAAGGAATGGAGGGTGATGAAAGAGAAACAGGCGCCCAGGCTAAGGTGAGGCCTGTCTTTCATTTCTACTTACTTCCAAGGTCTTAGGTGTCTGAGAACCCAGGTAGTGTTTCTCTGTGGAATTTCTCTCTGTGATCTTGGTCCCAGACTCATTGATTTGTGGGTCCGGGTGGCATTTGTCTCTAAATATCCCTTTGTAGATTTTCTCTGTAACTTACTCCACCTCTCTATCCAAGGATTATATGCAAAAATTAAGCATCTAATTTTATGGGTGGGATTCTGCTCTACCCAAAAGTAAAAAGCTACATTTTTAATTTGGGGGTTTTCTTTTGCAGGGCGCGGGGGATCTCTTTTCCTCTGGTAATAACTTTTCATTTTATTTTTTTTGTTTTCTTTTGGGGCCATAGCTAGCAACATTCAGGGCTTACTCCTGACTCTGCACTCTGGTGGTGCTAAGGGGATCATCTGAGATGCAGAGGATTAAACCTGGTAAGCCATGTGAAAGACAAGCATCCTACTTGCTGTACTATCTCTCCAGGCCCTGGTAATAACTTAAAATTAAAGCAATTGTAACATTTGGAAAACAGATAACCTAAAAAAAAAAACTTGATTGAATAACAAAATATCTGACATCTTAAGTGTTAAGTACCAATTAGAGTGTGAACTTTTCTCAATTAGGGGAATGTAGATTAGCTTTAATCTAAGTATTTTAAAATTATTATACTCAGGTCAACAGTGATATCCCATAATTTCACTAAAGAGGTAGGCAGTATAGCAGTAGAAGACTTCTGAACCAAAAATCTCTGATCTTTCTAGGGACAGTTCTAATCCATTTTTGCTTTAAGCCTAATAGAAAACACTCAATTGAAGTTGCATAAATTTTTCAAGAAATTTAAAATGACATTATATTTATGTATACCGGTGCGCTCTGTGAGACACTAATTATAGGAGATATGCTAAAGTATAGAATCCACAACCAAAAGAAAGATTCACAAACACATCAGCTTCATCAGCTTTGAAAGGCCTTGAGAATTGAACAATAAATAAACGTATGTAGGGGCTAGAGCAATAGCACAAAGGGTAGGGCATTTGCCTTGCACACAGCCGACCAGCTTTCAATTCCCAACATCTCATATAGTCCCCCAAGCACTGCCAGGAGTAATTCCTGAGTGCAGAGCCAGGAGTAAACCCTGTGCAATGCTGGGTGTGACCCAAAAAAGCAAAAAAAAAAAAAAAAAAAAAAAAGAAGAAGAAGAAGAAGAAAGAAAAAAGAAATGTATTTAACTGCGTTTAACCAATATATCCCTACTGTATCAGTAACAGAACCATTAAACTTCTTCAACAACTCCACAACACCCACAAAAACCTTGTTTCACAAACACACTGGTTTATTGTGGATTGTTCAAGTCTCACATTCTGGTGACTTTCACTGTTCACATGATACCCTTGTTACTTGCATGTTCTCACTTGGCCACTGAAGCATGTGCACCTCCTGGGAACAGCAACCTAGACTTGTTTACAGCCTTCCCTTATTGTTGAATATTCTAAGCTTAAGGCAATTTTTGTTCCCCAAAGCATTCTTATAACTCTGAAATCCTAATCATGAAATTCTAAGAAAACAAGGATACGTTTACTCATTTGGCTGTCATAAGCAGTGGGCTACTGTGTATAGAACAGATTCAGTTTTGGCCCAAGTAAGCTGCTATTTTAGTGAAGGGAATGAACCATTTGATAACTAAACAAACACTGAGAGAGATTATTTCACGTGATAAATTATTATTTTAATTTTTACCAATTTTTTCCCTTTTCCTCAAACTTCACTTTTAAAAGTTGAGATATTCTAGTTTTCACTGTAAAAAAAAAAAAAACTTTTTTTTGAAATTTTGAGCCACAGACAGTGGTGTTTGGGGCTTACTCCTGGCTCTGCACTCAGGGATCACTCCTGGTGGTGCTAGGGATAAAACCTGGGTCAGCTGTGTGCAAGGCAATCACTCTACCTGCCCTACTACAGATCCAGCCCCCACAATTGTAAATTTTTTAATGATGAAATGATGCCCACCTCAAGCTCATGTGTGTTCTAGGTGATATGCTTTATTCCTTGTCAGTTTGCCCTTCATGCACTAACAAGAGCCAGGCAGGAGAGCAGTGTGCTGTCGGGTTAGAACTGGCCGAGGTGGTACAACAGCACAGAGCAGGTGAATTTAGTTTATAACATCTACAGACTTCAACGACAGAAATAATACTCGCATTGTATTCGATTTCAAGCTATTGAAGCAATGTTAAGTTATTTCCTAAGATCATGCTTATGTTGCTCAGGAGCTTGGGCTAGAGACCCCAGCTTAGCACCCACAGGTTCCACATATTCAGTGCAAGTTCTACTGGCTTTCTTCTCACCACAGACTAAATTTCATAAACTAAAAAGTATTGTTTTAAATGAAAGACTAATTTACTAAATCTTTCTCACCTCCCCACTTCTTCCTTTCTTTTTTCTTTCGTTCTTCTTTTTTTCCATACCAAGCAAAAATGAAACAAACACCGTCCTCCCGTTATTCATTGATTTGCTCTAGCAGGCCCAGTAACATCTCCATTTTTGAGACTTGTTGTTATTGTGTTTGGCATATTGAATACATCACGAGTAGCTTGCCAGGCTTTGCTGTGAGGGCAAGATACTCTCGGTAGCTTGCCGGGCTCTCCGAGAGGGGCGGAGGAATCAAACCCGGCTTGGCTGGGCTGTCTGCGTGCAAGACAAACGCCCTACCGCTGTGCTATCGCTCCAGCCCACCAAGCAAAAATGATAAATATAAATAACAATCTACAATCAAAATAAGTTCATAAAAGGACATTTTAGTAATAAAAAGTTCATAACTTTAGAATCATAGAGGCTTTAAATTTAATGAATCTAAAATGATGAAAATCTTATAGCTTTATTTGTTTACTTTTGTTATGATCTACTTCTAATATACTTGTTAGAAAGTTTCTGGCTATAACTAACAGAAAACCTGACAGTGACTTAATAGCTCAGAGCCATTTTCTTAACCATCTAAAAGTCCAAAAGTCAGTGGCTTGACAGTGCTGGGGTGATCTCAGATATCCACCCTCACCCTACTTGCCTCTCCATAATTCTTAGCTCACAGACTTTCCTTTCATGCTTATGCCCTTTTGTTATAAGACAGATGTTGGAGGTGGGGCGGGGGGTGCAATTCAATGATAAAACATGCCTGCCTTAGAATCATGAGGCCATGAGTTTGATGCCTGATGCTGCCCATGTGACTCAACAGAGTGTGTGATCTCTGGCCATGTATGTGAGAGCACCTGAGAAGCCCTACAACTGAAGGTGAATGACTTCTGGGCCATCACAGCAATACCACTAACAGCCAAGGGAAAACAAAGGAGAAAAACACACACAAAAATAAATTTATAATCTGAGATTTAAAAAAAAAAATATATATATATATATATATATATATATATATGGAGGAGTAGAAGAAGGAAGAAAGCAAAGTAGGAGAAGAATTATTAGGGTCAGAGAAATAGTACCAGAAGTAAGGTACTTGTCGTGCATGCATCAGAAGCCCAGTTCAACTCTTAGGACAATATATAGTCCCCTTAGCACTCTCAAGGATCACTCCTGAGCACAAAGTCAGGAGTACTTCCAGAGCTCTACTGGGTGTTATCAACTCCCCTCTCCCCACCTCCAAAGGCTATCAACTGTACATCTGGGAAGGTAAAAGGAAAAGGGCAAAAGATCTTGTAGTTCATTCAGTTGTGTCCCATAAAATGTGTGATAAAGTCCTAACGCCCGGAACCTATGAAGGTGACCGTATTTGGAAATAAGGTCTTTGCCATTCTAATTAGTTAAAGATTGGCCCTAATCCAGTAACCAGTATCATTACAAGAAGAGAAAATGGAGACACCCACAGAGAAGAGCAGGCACAGAAGAGAGGTGGTTAATGGAGCAGAAATTGCATGATGAGCCTGTGGTGCAAAGAACATCATAGATTGGGGAGCCCTAAGAGATGAGAAGAACCTTCAGAGGAGCATAGCCCATGGAGCTTGATTTCAACCATACACTTTCCAGAATCTAAAGAAAGTTAATTTATGTTACTAACATCTAATAGATGGCACCGTGCTTATAGTACTCTGTGATACTGCTCTTGGGAAGCTAATCTAAGACTCATCATCACAAAGCACTGTCTTGTGATATCTCCAGATTTCTCTTTATAACCCACTTGCCAGAACTTGTCCAGACACCAAAAATTATAATAATTAGTGGATACAGAAAAGGAGAGCTCCATGATAGGTTTTATACTTACCTTGCTTCATCCTATGATCTCAGGTCAGAACCACTTTCCCTGTGACCTCTCCTTCACTACAAACACTGGCGAAGGGGGATGACATGAAGAGGTCATGAGCAGCGACTATCAGAGGCAAAGATGGAATAGCTTGTTATTCTGTGGATGGCTTGCTATAGATGTTGCCCTATTATTTGTGATTCATTGCAAAAATACATCTTCACATTGCATAGAAATACTAAAAAAAAAAAATCTGGATTTAAAAAAAATCGGGTAGGTGGTTCCAGGATAAGAAGTCAGACGACAACTGAGTGTATATGAGAGATCGTTTTCACAGGGAGACACTTGAGGTCTCATCTAAGTGATGGGCTATATATCTCGAGGAAATAAAGTATCGGGAAACTGGACATCTCAGGGAGAGCTGTAGCTGAAATGCTCTGATACTAAATGAAAATCCACCACCCCAACTCGTGGGAAATTACTAGCCTATTTCCAAAGAGACAATGGGAAAAAGAAAACATTATTTTAACTGTAGGGAGCAACATCAAGTAAAATGGACAATTTAATCTTCATTCAGTGACAGATTTCAGCAATTAATCCCCAAACCGCAACAGTTTTTATACTTTTTTTTTTTAACAACTAAGACAGGGACTAAACATGCTCATGAATTTCAGATCCAAGTACAGAGGTGATGTGAGAACAGATGGAGTCTTGGATCATTCTGTCTTCCGGGCAAATCCCACCTCTATATGTTCTGGAATTCTTCGCCAACATTAACATAACTTCATGGAAGTCTCAGGCACAAGTACAGGCTCATTAGATGGAGGCCAAGTTTTACTTCTAGTTAAATCTTCTTAGGTCCCAACTGCCTGTGGTATAAGGGATCACAGACAGGAGAGCTGCTGGGATCATGATCAGTGTGTGTGGTAACGCCAAGGATTAAGCTCTCAGCCTTACACTTGCAAGGAGACATTCTAAGCCTCCAGGCCCTATCTACATCTCCTGGGCTACACCAAGCCCTTTGACCTAAGACAGCTTTACTCCCAGCTTGCTCTGCCTGGAAGAAGCTGTTACTTCTTAGTGCCCTCTCTATTCCCTGGATATACACTTGACCTCACACCATAGCATACTGTGACATTTATTACATTACATGGTTAGCTGGTTTAGCTCTGTTACTAAGGAATTTGGAGACAGTAGACATGCCTTACTTATTACCATTGTATAATCCAACATCTAACAGTTGGAGAGTCTACTCAATGTAAGTTAAATAAGCTATTATTTAATGCCAAGGAAAATATATTATACTATAAATTTCTGAGCTGGAATTTATAGGGATCAGTGATCTCCACAGAGAATATGGACAAGAACTCAGGAAGATTGTTGACTACCGATTATGGGATAGCAGGAAATATACTGAAAGTCGCCTAACAAATTGCCTCTGCATTAATCTGATTATCTCTATGAAATGCTATGCCTAAGTCGAGTGATCTCTATTTATAATTGGAATGTTTCTTTTTTCCTTAGAAATCAGAAAGACCTTGAGGAACCAGGGCAATATTACAGAAGGTAGGAAGTTTACCTCACATGCAACCGAGCCAGGTTTGATCCCAGGCATCCCAGATGGTCTCCCAAACACTGCCGGAAGTGATTCCTGAGTACAAAGACAGTAGTTAACCTGAGCAGAGTCAGATGTGGCCTAAAGACAAAAATAAATAAATAAATAAATAAATACAATTTTAAAAGAATTAGAAAAGACTTGAACTATTTCTTTGGTTCAGCATTGAACTTTTTCTCAATGTTAAGAATTTTTTCTTGGGGCCAGAGATATATTACAGTGGGAAGGGTGTTTGCCTCACACACAAACAACCCAGATTCAATCCCTAGCACCCCATATGGTTTCCTACCCCTGCCAGGAGTGATCCCTGAGCACAGACCCAGGAGCAACCCCTGAGCACCACCATGTGTGGTCTAAAAATACAATCTTCCTCCTCTAGGGGCAGAAGGATAGTATAGCAGGGAAGGTGCTTGCCATGCTCTGAATGACTCCTGAGGCCGCCAGGAGTGATCTCTGAGCACAGATCCAGGAGTAATTTCCTGACCACAACCGGGTATAGCCCCAAAACAAAATCAAATTTTTAAAAATAACTCCTTTCTCTGATTGTGCACCTGAAGAGTCAGTGATTTGAAGGAAGAGTGGAGTCTTGATACCTGTGTAATCTGGAAGCTCTCATTCTCCGAACTGAAGTGTCAAACCTGAGCAACAGCTGGCCAGTTTCACTGTGGTCCTAGAGTGGGCAGCAGAGGGAGTCTGGACAAAAGTGAAGAAAGTACAGAGGACTATTAGAAACATACTTATTTTTTGTGTTCTTACTAAAACAGACTTGTTTTAGCGGTAAAACAATTATTTGGTAGAATGGTATTTTTCCAGCCCTGGTTATGCAAGTACTGAGTTTAGGTACCAGACTCATGTTGCTTTCTATTTCAAAATATCTCTGCATTGCATTTTGCTGTTTTCGGCGCTGCCATCTAGTAAGTCACTGTGAACTTTACTTGCAATAACAGAAAGTTATAAGAAGAAACTCCACCAATAATAAGGCTGTCTACTGTTTCAAGCGATTCACCTTACTTTTCTGTGTTTTCTCATATTTTCTAGCTTCTATTTTCAGCACTTTAATCATTGCTTTTTTATTTCATTATTGCTGAAATTGTTCATTTTCTACTCCAGATTCTGAATGTGACCTTGAAAATTACCCATGTCTTGAACCTGGGAACACTGGTGGAGGAAAAGTTGCACTGGTGATGGGATTAATGTTGAAACACTGTATGCCAGAAACAACTCTATTATGATCAATTTGGTCAACCAAGGTGTTGTAATAAATACAAATCATGTAAAAATTATCCATGTTTGTGATATGTAGAAAAATAAAATAAGAAAACAGTATCAGGTGATGGAAACCCCTTTTTTCTTAGCTACAGACTGAGATGACCAGTTTGTATTTAGAGGTAGCTGTTGGGAAAGAAATGAAGAAGTGGTAAATAGAGGTCCCTGAGGGCATTGGTGGAGGGTCTTAGACCCAGTGGTGGTGGTGGTGGAGTGTAGTAGTTTTGTATAGAATATGAGAAAGTTGACACTTTTGGGACGGAGCGATAGCACAGCGAGTAGGGCTTGCATGCGGTAGACCTGGGTTCAATCCCCAGCACTAGGACTAATTCCTTAGTGCAGAGCCAGGAATAACCCCTGTGCATTGCCAGGTATGACCCAAAAATCAAAAAGTAGAAAAAAAAAGTTAACAGTATTATAAACATATGGCCTACACTATAATAATTTTTAAACTATTCATACAAAGAAATATGCATTGTGTTTTCCAACCCTCAGAGATGTACTGTGGCCTAAACCCAAGTACTTCTAGAGAAAAAAAAAAAGTGTGTGGGGTAAGGGGGCAGTGCATTTAATAGATGAGTGATCCCGGTCACACATTTGTTTCCTCCATTTTCAATCATTTTTATGCCCTAAACACCACCAAGACGTCATGGGGGTTTTCTGTTGCCAGGCCACTTATTTGCTAAGCAGCTCTTCGGTGAAGTGCATCATCTCTATACCATGCTTTGTCTTTATTTCAGCAAATGATTAAGGAGCATGACGTAAGGGCCAAACTTCTTTTTTTTTTTTAATTTTTATTAGTGAAACACCATGAGGTACTGTTGTAGACTTACAAATTTTTGTGCTTGGATTTCAATTATACAATGATCAAATACCCATCCCTCCACCAGTGCCCATTTTCCACCACCACGGGTCCCAATATCCCTCCCACCCCCATATGCCCCCATCCCACCCTGACTCAACTTCTTGAATCATATCTTTTCTTTCTTTCTCCCATTTGGTACTCAATATCCCTATGACAAAATGTGAATCCTCCAAATTGTCAGGCATAGGAAAACCTTTGACTTAACTTTCTGCTGCTGCTCTAAACTTGTAATTTTAACCCTGTGGAGTCAGTTCCTCCAGCCCCGCCTGGTGCCTCTCTTAGCCATTCTCAGCCTCCTTCCAACAAATCTGCTTATAGGTTTCCATACATTGTGCTCAAAGCCTGCTTGAAATGTATGAAGTAGTTCAATACCATTTAAGAAAATCTCTGAATGTAAACTCTACACTGTAAAGCAATGATAGGACTTATTCATGTGGTATTTTTTGTTTAGAAACTGTTTTCTCATACCCCAAAGCAAAACTGCATTAACTCAGGTTATGAAAATGTATTTCTTTATTTTAAATTTGTATATTGATTAAGGTTCTGTGATTTACAGTAACACGCATAATTCCAACACTATACCCATTACCAGTATACCCACCATTCTCCCCCTCAAAGACACTGATATCCCTCCCTTTTAACACTATCCCCCCACTAACTCAATTATGTGGATCAGTTTCGCCATTGTGCTGCCTTTGGCCTTTGTTGCTTCCTTGCTGCAAATCTTTAAGTTCCACTTACAAGAGAGATCATTCTGTATCTGTTCATTTTCTCCTAACTGACTTCACTCAGCATGATATCCTCTAGCTCCATCCATGCTCCTGAAAATTGTGCGATACTATTCTTCCTTAGAGTTGCATAGTATTTCTCTGTATATATATATAGCACAACTTTTTCATCCATTCATCTGTAAAGTGGGCATTTGGGTTGTTTTCATATCTTGATTCATCTATTAAGCACCGTGATGAGCATAGGTGGGTATATATCCTTTTGAATTAATGTTTTTGTGTTTAGGGGATAGATACGAAGAAGTGGCAACAAGCTCGTGGCAACCTACCTAGCAAGCAAAACTGAACTCTCTGGAAACGCAGCAAGGTTATGAAATGAAAACCTAATCACAAAGAGCCAACTATGCTTTAAACCAGCCAATCAATAATTTCCTTGCTTTGCTTCTGCCTTTTCTTTATAAAAGTCCCTTCATAAAAGTCTTTTTTCTTTACAAAAGTCCCTTTATAAAAGCCCCCAGGTCCCTGTTAGTGGAGCACTTCTGACTACTTTTTGCTTGATGCTTCCCAATTCAAATCGAGTTTTTTTTTTTGCTTGGTAGGATTTTTGAGTCATACCAACTTGTGCCCTAAGATCACTTCTGGCAGTCCCATACCCACTTTATTATCTCCCCAGCTCCTGCTCACAGAAACTCTTAATAATATTGAAATGCCTCCGTTTACTTTCTAATGCCAGGTAGCCATTCCCTATATTTCTGCTTATTATTCTGCTCCCTTCTTTTTAATGTCCTTTTAGTTACTCCAGTCATTTCTCAATATTCTCATCCTCTGGATCACACAGAACTAGAATTCAGATGATCACTTCATTCACCTGGGTTACCATAATAGTAAGGGTTGAATGGAATTTTTGATACATTCCAAAGCAAAGAGATAAAAATTATGAATGACTTGTATAAACTACAATCTGTAGCACTGTCCTCCCATTGTTCATCGATTTGCTCTAGTGGGCACCAGTAACGTCTTCATTGTGAGACTTGTTACTGTTTTGGGGATATCGAATGCACCATGGGGAGCTTGCCAGGCTCTGCCGTGCGGGCTGAATACTCTTGGTAGCTTGCCAGACTTTCCAAGAGGGATGGAAGATTCGAACCTGGGTCAGCCACATGCAAGGCAAACGCCCTACCCCCTGTGAAACTACAATCATTTCTGATAATTATCTTTCAAGACACAAAGACATACTTCAGAACATTCATCCCTGAGTAGCTTAAATCAGAACTTCTTAAACCTTTTTAACTAGCGACAATTTTTCTACAGAGAAATGCAATAAATGAGCACTGCCAGAAACAACTCCAGTTTATTCCACCGTTGAGAGGAGGTGCTCAAAGCCTATTTATACTTGCTTCTAATGGTGTCCAAGGCACTATGTGGTCCTGAGAATCTGGCCGAGGTCTCCTTCATGAAAAGCTTGTGCTCAGTTCTTTGAGGAATTCCTGGCCTATGCTGTTATTCTTGGTTCTTCTTGTTTTTGATTTGTCTGGTGAGTGTGATGGGACCCCTCCATTCTCTGCTAAATGGGCTGGAATTTCAATCAATGCCCGCCCCCCGCAAAAAAAAAAAAAACAGTTCTCAGGTCCTGTGGTACAGGGTTCATCCTCTCGACCCCAGCAGTGCTCAGAGGACCATTTGTGCTGCGAGTGGAACCCAGGTCAACCTCAATCAGGGCACATGCCTTAACCCCTGTACTATCTCTCCAGGCCTTGCAAGTTAATTTTGAATGAATATTTGGTCTATGTGTATTCAGATACCTTTTACTGCTGTCAATTTTTTTTTTCAACACCCAAATTCAGTTACAGAATCCCACAGTGTAAGAAACTATATTATGATTTCTTGGAAGTAACACTTGTACTTTCACTCTGTGGCATAAATTTCTCTATAACTGTTAGCACACTGCTTTAGGTCCCGTAAATCATGAGGCAACCAGAGAGTCACCAAGACTGTTACTTCATTTGCACATTGTGTTGTACCAATTTAGTTAGAAGAATTTTGCATTTCAGCTCCTATCATGATAATGGCCCTGAGTTATCTTTAACCTCGTTCATGTGTTTTTCTTTAAGGTTGGGGTCTTACCTTATTCTTGCTTCCAGTAAGTTGCATTCTTGATTTTTTTGTCTACCCACCTTGACTTCGAGTACACAGCAATAGCTCTTGATGTACTTTTG